TGGTAGATTTAAACAAGAGATCCGAAGAAGCTGAAAAAAATGACAGATCATCACCGACTGCTCCGTATATGCCATGAGATTCATCTAGCCTTGGCGGACAGTGGATCAACACTGGACGCCACCGCCTGTTAAGGCAAAATCAAAACGGCCACCTGTCCTAATCGAAATCTCTGGAGAGAGTCGGTCTAAAATACTTAAAATAAAAGGATAGCAGGAGCAGATATTTGCTGTGAGAATTAAATTTCCCAATCATCAGTTAGGGTTACCAACCGTAACTGGTATGTTATACGGAGTTATGAGTCTAGTGATTCCTTGGTGGGGTGAGGTCAGAGAGGGTAGGGGAAGAAACAAGGTAAAAAAAAAATTCAGAATTTTTGTTCAGTTGCCATCCGTTAAAGCGGCAGGAGGATAGCGTGTCTTACATGGAGAAACCGAGGGTAGTCGATGACGGTGATTGGATTGGTGTGGGACGGACGGACTATCAGCTGCAGGAGGAGCGCGGACTGGCAAACCTAGCGCCTGCAACCATGGCTCGTGGAGGAAAAAGCAAGGGTGTTTGAACCAGTCAAGGGTCAACGCAGAGAGATTAGCGGAGTGCGTTGGGCGAATAAAAGTCACTAGGGATGCTGTGTGGCTATGATTGGTTCATGACGTGGTTTCCCAGAGCCGCTAGCGGGCAATGAAGCCAAGGTCGAAGGGAGAAAAGTATTGCTGCTTTTAGCGCCACCGGCGGCCCAGCCTCCCCTGACCGGGCTGTGACTCAGCACTATATAAAGACCCAACCTCCCCCCAATTTACCTTAGGAATTTTTGTCTCGGTCTTGGCGGATCTCATTTCGGAAATTCTTCTTTCCCTCCGCTCCTCAAAAAAAAAGCCTCTTGATTATCAAATCTTGATATCTGCTGGCTTTCTCTTACTAATCAGATCTACCTCCCACAGATCTTTGATTTATCTCTGGAAGACCCTTGATTCTATTTTCTTTAGGGGAAAAAGGTTTTTTTTGTCCACGGACCTAATCACCATAGAAGTCGAGCCTCAGGTTTCGCCTCACCACTCTCTCTTTTTTTTTCTTCAGATCGCGCAGATAGACAATCCCATTTTCCAAAAACAGCGCAAAAGAAACATTTCGAAAGAAAAAAAAAATTGCTGTCCTTCCGTCCATAATATCGCCGTCGCACTTATCTGGAAAAAACACTTCAGTGTGATTTTTTTCTTGATTCGTTCACCTATTGACTGCGTTGGGTTTCGTTGCCTACACTATCTCGTGATTGCTTGTCATTCCGAGAGGTTACGTGCGAATACCTCGTAGGGGGATACATTGAGTTGTCCATCTCCCAGGTAAGAAAATCCTTCCTCGTCTATTCCAAGGTTGCACCTTCCCTCTTTCCATCTTGCTGGTTCCTTCCCTCGGGAGGGGCTCCTTCCCTATTGATGGCTTCGATCTCCCTTCCTTTCCCTCACCGCCTCTCCCCCGCGCGCCATTCTTATCTCTCGCGACTGTTCGTAATCTAAACTCACATCTTTCTTTGATAGTTCCATCTTTATTTTTTGTCACAACTCGAGTATTCCATCAAAATGGATTCTCTCACGACCCATCCTTCCAATGCGCAGCAGGCTCGTGCCTTCACTGCTACCTCGTCGCTGTCTTTCCCTGGTGGCGCTGGGGATCTGACCCCTCCAAACTCCGAGAAGGAGGCCATGGCACAGGGCGGAAATGGTATGAATAATGGCCAACAGGCCGGAGGAAATGCCATGAACGGCACCGGGGTGACTCCCGCTTCTCCTGCAACCCCCGCCGCGACCCCTGGCGCAACCACCGGAAGCAGTGGCATTGTTCCTACCTTGCAGTGAGTATACTCTGGATGGTTTTCTGGGTGACCAGAATGGCTGAACTAGTAATTCCAAAAGGAACATCGTTGCCACTGTCAATCTTGACTGTCGCCTTGATCTCAAGACCATCGCGTTGCACGCACGAAACGCTGAGTACAATCCAAAGGTATTTATCAACCCATCCTCACATTGCTCTGAGAGGGCGCATATCAGAGTACAATGTAGCTGAACTTGGCTCTCTCCTTAGCGTTTTGCTGCCGTGATCATGCGTATCCGTGAACCTAAGACCACTGCTCTCATCTTCGCCTCCGGCAAGATGGTCGTTACTGGTGCCAAGTCCGAGGATGATTCAAAGCTGGCTTCGCGCAAGTATGCGCGCATCATTCAGAAGCTTGGTTTCAATGCCAAGTTTACCGATTTCAAAATCCAGAATATTGTCGGCTCCTGCGACATCAAGTTCCCCATCCGTCTGGAGGGGTTGGCCTCTCGTCACCACAATTTCAGTTCCTACGAGCCTGAATTATTCCCTGGTCTGATCTATCGCATGATGAAGCCCAAGATCGTTCTCTTGATCTTCGTCAGTGGCAAGATTGTCCTGACTGGTGCTAAAGTCCGCGAGGAGATCTACCAGGCTTTCGAGCTGATCTACCCCGTACTTTCTGGTATGTTGTCTTGCTGGATTCGCTGCCACCACATCTTACTGACATGTACTTTCAGATTTCCGCAAGGTTTAAGAAAGCTCCAGAGGAAATCACTGTGCATTTCAAACCTGTATTAACATTGCTTTTTCCCTTTCCCAGAACAGTCACCTTCGGTCTGTATCTCGCTTTTCCTTTCTTACGACTCTTTTTCATGCAAGCATAGTTGGGCGTTTTTAGCGATTCGGATGATCCCCGGTTTTCCTCACACTTTCGCGTTCTTCCACACAATTAGATTGCTGCACACTGCAGTGAGGCGGTTGTGCGCCGGTCGATGACTGCCTCGATTTAATCATTTGTCGTTCTATGGTTTCATCTGTGGTGGATTGTTACCCCCACGGGCCAAAAAAAAAATTAACGGTGACCTAAGGCAGTCTGTTAGACTTAGTTCCGTCCTTGCTTTCCCGATTTGGGGCTTGATGGACCGGTTTTTTGCCGTGATTACTACCTTTGAGTAGTCAATAAAAATTCTCTTGAAGCAAAATGTTCCTTGTGTGCTCTACTAGATCAACGTACGGAGTAGAGTCTAGCTCTGTAGCTTCGACCGTAGCTCGTGCTTTGTCTCAAGTATAAATGCCTCTCTATATATACATGTAATTTTCATGTTACATGCATAGACCAAAGGGGCACATCCCCCTAGAGCACACTGCTCCGCAATGCCTTTTTTGTCTTAGCCAACTCGTCTTTTAAAATCGCTCTCCTCTCCCCAGACCGACTGCCATCGCCAGCAAAATCCTCTTCATCCGGCACGGCAGCCTCTGGCCATTTCCACATCCTACTCAACTCGGAATCAAGAGTGCCCCCCAGCGCATCAACAATCTTGTCTCCAAGAACGGGGAAGAACTTGAACCCATGGCCACTACCACCGGTAGCAAGGAAAAGACCTTCATGATCAGGATGATAGGAAACAATGAAGTCGCCCGTGGGCCTGTTAAACAGATTAGTATCAACCACAACCACCCAACTCGCAGCTGTTAAGGGATCGAGCTTACGTATCAGTATACCAACAAACCCTCGTATCAACAAACTCCCTCTCCGCAAACCGCGGTAAAAGCTGCCTCAACGCAACCCGGAACGCATCCTGTCCCTCAAGAGGCACTGGAACCCCCTGCTCAGGCAGACTAACCACCATGGAGCCTGAAGCCCCGGCACCAGGAACCGGCACCTCAACCGGATTCAAATACCCATACGCATGCCGCGCAATTTTAAGCAGATTGTCCCGGGGTGGGATAATGAAAATTCCCGTCGCGAAGTTCAAGATCGTAGGTAAATTCTCCAGCTCTCGTTGCTCCTCATCAGAGATCCGCATGTAAGCAATCGCCTGTCCAGTCGCAACAGCCCTTCCACGTAAGTCGACCAGCTTCGACGTCCACGCGCCAGTCGCCAACACAACGAGATCAGCCTCGATGGTTGAACCATCCGTCAAGGCGACACCGATAGCTTTAGGCTTCGCGCCGTTCGTGTCGTAAAGCACACGCTCGACATCACCAGTGCGGAAGTCAACCTTCCCCTCAGCGTCGAGGAGAGTCTTTGCGTACCGCACGCTGGCCGCGGCATCAGACCATCCAGAACCCCAATTCACATAGCCACCAGCGACATCAAGGGTCGAGCCGTAGGCTGGAACGACGCTGAGGACGTCCGCTTGGGTCGGCAGGAAGGTGACGTTCTCACCCTCGATCTGGCGCACGTTGGCGTAGCTCTTGCGTGCATATTCCTTGGCACTAGCGCTTTCTGCTGGGTACACGAGCAGCAGGCCGTTTTGCGTGTAGCGGCCGTCTCGGCCCCAGTCTGTGCTGCGCCAGCGGTCGATGGCTGCTGCCGCGAGTTTGGAGTATGCTGCGTTGGCATAGTCGGCCCGCACGATCCGGGATGTGTCCACGGATGAGCCGTGCGGGTTTGGGATTGTTGGTGAGGACTCTACAACTGTTACTTTGGACTCTGGGTGTCGCTTTGACAGGGAGAGGGCGGTGGATACTGGGGAATGTTAGTATATGAAAGTGTAACGTGTAGTACGACAGTGTAAACAGAGGGTTTCCGAGGATTGTTCTGAACACTCACATCCAAACACACCCCCTCCTACAATCAGAATCTTGGACGGCAATGTCATTTGTAAAAAAATACGTGTGTGGGTGAACACAAGAATTGGAGATTCCGGGGGATTTCTCCAATTGATAACAGTCGATCCGATAACGGCACTGCCCGTCGGCTTCTGTTCCCGACTTTTCTTCTTCGCTGGGGGTCGAGATCGTTACTCCGATCTATACGGACTGAGCTGTGCGACCGATTTCGAGATTTCATTTTTTGACCAATTTGGTTTCCATCTTTTAGAGCCTCCATCTCTTTTTGGTATTGCGCGGGGTTGACAACCCTGTCGCATAAGCACTTAATCTTTGCTCACGTCAAACCGTACATGCGCAACAAGCTCTGCACAAAACCCCTTGCCAGCCGATTCTGCCAGTTCAAAACATCACAATGAACCTATATCAACTGCGCAGAGCGCCATTAGTTGCACAGTGGCCCGTCACACCCTGCCGCAGCGCATCAAGCAAAGGCCCTCGAACCCCAAAGCCGAGGTATGTCACCAAAACCCTCCAATCCCAGCCCCAAACTAATATCCCCTCAGTCCCCTCAGTCCCAAACCAGTGGCTATAAAACGGCGTCAAGCAACTCCGCCTCGCCAGCCATACCAAGAGCGCCCTAACCCGCAGGGCACTCAGGCCGAAGGCCCTAATGCTGAAACCACAGCAAAACCAGGCCATGGCATCCCACCCAGAGCCCTAACCTTCCTGGGCATCACAGCACTCACCATCAGCATGTACTGCGGGTACCTGTACGCGTCATACATGCGCGAAGTAAGCAAAGCGCACACACTCAACGTGCCACGCGATGTCTCAGACCGCTACAACACGACAGCGGCAACCTTCGACGCGGACGTCGAGCTCTCCGAAAAGGCAATGGGTCTCGGCAAGAAACGGCGTGATCTAGTGCGCCTGGCGCGCGGGAATGTGCTCGAAGTCAGCTGCGGCACGGGGCGCAATTTGCCGTTCTACGAGCTCGGCGAACGTCGCGGGCTAGATGCCAATGGCCATGCTGCGGTTTTGGGTTGTCGCTCGGTGACGTTTGTCGATCTTAGCCCGCAGATGGTGGCTATTACGAAGGAGAAGTTTGAGAAATTGTATCCTGCGTTCCCGGCGGTGTTTCGGGCTTGTGATGCGGGTCAGGTTGAGCCATCTGAGATTGGGCGCTCTGGGGTGAAGATGAAGGGGGAGCCGGTTACCTTTGATACTATTGTGCAGACCATGGGTCTCTGCTCGATGCCGGATCCGGTTGCTACGCTGAGACATCTGGGGTCTGTTACGGAGCCTGGGAGTGGGCGGATCTTGTTGCTTGAGCATGGACGGTCTTACTATGATTGGCTTAATCGGATTTTAGATAATCTTGCGCCGGCTCATGCGGATCGGCATGGTTGTTGGTGGAACCGTGATATTGGGGAGATTGTGCGCGAAAGTGGCTTGGAGGTTGTGGAGGAGAAGCGTTGGCATCTGGGGACTACGTGGCGTTATGTGTTGAAGCCGAAGCAGAATACTGTCAGGGCTCACTCTTGATCTTGTGGCTTTGGCTGGAGCCTTTTTCGATGTAACATAATTGGAAATGTGTATGAGTATTTGGCGTGAAAGAGACCTTGGGAATAGTTGTGATATAGATGAGATTCTGGGATAGACCTTGCTCTCTTTTCATTCGATTATGTAGCAAAACATGATGAGCATAAGTGATCAGCAATGATGCTGCTTCAGGAATAGGCCTATAGTCCACATACATACTTCCTCCCTGTCTTTTTTTTTAGTAACGATATCTGAAGCCTGTTGTCTTCCAGTCCGAAACATCATCATAATCATCCGATACCAACTGCACCCGGTTGACCATATCCACCAAATTCTTCAAATCGGGGTCACCTTCCAATCCCCTCCCACCAACTGCACCCGCGTTTCCAGCACTACCCTCGAAGCCCTCTAGACATGTACGGCGAGCGTTAGTCCACTGCAGGTAGCAGCGTAGAACCAACGTCAAGACGACAGACAAGGTATAACAAATCATGATCGTGCGGAAAGCAGTGTTATAAGTGGGCGCCTCCTCGCTGAGGAAGAATTGAGGCCCCGAAATGTTTCCAGCACAGTAAGCCAGGAATAGCATTGCAGTAACTGTCATTTTCTTAGTGACACCACGGTAATTGGCCTGCACCAGCGACATAGCAAGCGGCATTGCCGCGGGTCCCGTCGACAAGAGGAAATATCCTAATAGTTGCACGTCCAAGACCATATGCGCGCGGGAGTAGATGATCGCGCTGCCGATAACGCAAGGGATCACAACGACCACGATTAGCAAGCAGTTCAATTGGCGACAACGACCGGCCAGCCAGCCCGTCCCTGTGATTGTGGCCACGGTGATAAGGGAGTAAGGGATGGTCAGTAGCGTCGATTGCAGGTTCGTGAACCCAAAAGAGACAATCACCAGATTGGCAAAGTTCTGCGTCCCTCCGTTGGGGATCTGGGTACAAAGCTCCAGCCCAAAGATCAGCCATGTTTTGGGATCTATCAGACATTCAACGAGCTGGTCCCATCTCCAGACGGTCTTCTCCGTTGCGCCGGTGCCTGCAACGATAACTCTGTTGGTAGCGAACTGGCGTTCCTCTTCTGTGAGGAATGTGGCCTTGGAGATTGAGTCTGGTAGTAGAGTCCAGATGGCGAATCCCCAGAGGAATGTCGCACAGCCCAGGACGATGAACATCCACCTCCACGGACCAACGTGATCTTTGACGTGACCTAGCCCGTAGGCGAGGAGACTGGAAATTATGCCACCGACACTCTATGCCAAGATGAGCTTTTTTTTTCAAAAAAAACCCCCCAGAATGATGATATTGACACAAGGCAACATACGTTTCCAGCAAACCACAGGCCTGTCCTGGTCGGAATCTCATCACGCGTGTACCACGTCGACGTGATAAACATAAACGCCGGCGTGATCGTTGCTTCAGCAACTCCCAGCAAGAAGCGAACTGTGATGAGACCGCCAAAGTTAGTGCAGGCTGCAGTGAGAGCCACTACAGCACCCCAGAATACCGTGTTAGCCGTCAAGTATTTGGCGGGGGGGAGCCGAGCAATGAGCAAAGTTGTTGGATATACCCATCCCAGGTAGCCAAAGTAGAAGATCGATGATACCCAGCTGTACTGCTGGCCCACCAAACCCTAGAAATGATCTTAGTTACAGGGGTTGTTTCTCTTGACTGGTTCATTTCCTTACCGTATCGTGCCTCATCCCAAAGACAGACGCACTCGACAGGATGGTTTTGTCCATAAAATTTAACATGTAAGTTGTGAACAGCAGTGGGATCAGTCGTCTGTCAATCTTCCTCAGCACTGTTTTCGCCGTCCCCTGCTCTCCCGTATCAGGAGTAGTTGTGTCCATGGCCATTTCTAGTGAAAAGAAAAGACCGAGAATCTCATTCACGACAATTCGAACCCCTGTTAAAATGGTCATCTGCACCCTGTTATCTTTCCCCGCACCTTCCATTGGCCCAACCCTGCACGTTATCAATCCAGAGTCCCTTCAAGTGTCGACTGGACAGGAATGAAGCCAAGGTATTTAGTGCTGGAACAAGTGATACTGTCATGGCAATATGGAGTGGTATCTCGTCGCCTTCTGTTGTACTCCAAACGTACGTCAACTTTGAATCCTGATTCTTTTTCCGGTTCTACCTACGGACTGGGACAGATCTTTCATTCTATTTGGAATAAAGTGCTGAAAGTTTACCCAGATGATCATCATGAACAGTCTTACCATCACTGGTTCATAGCGAATCTCCCAAACTCGAGCTCCATGTTTACATTGAAGGTGCCCAAGCACCCCCCTCTCCGCTGGAAACTGGCCCATCGCAACAATATTGCCCTCCCCGACGCCATCTTCTCAGATCCGCAGGCCTCCTATGCAGTAACCCTCATTCCCTGGCCGGTGCTAAATTGCCGCCCTCTAGGTATCCCAACTTTCCTGGAAGCCTATTTCGCCGAGTGCGAAGTTCTTTGCACAGAAGCCTACTTGTACGATCTAGCCATGGCCTATCTGCACAGATGCGCAGCCATAATTGGACGCTACACTGAATCCTTCTTCAACATCCAGGCATTCGCATCTCTCATTTGAACGACAGATGGGTTCAAAGCATGACGCGTTTTCACTTGCAGCGTGTCCCACTCTAAATCTCTTCCCGTGATGAAATCCCTCGCGTGCCAATTTTATTTTCTCTCGGAGCAATACGACAGTTTACATTGAGATCCGCCTGGTTCTATCTCGCCTAATCAACATCAACGATCCAATAGTCTCCTCTTCCACTAGATCGACTATCAAAAAGCTCTTCGTTGCAACCTGCAAGCACAACGGTGTCTCCATCAAAGATAGAGCGAATTGATTTGCAGAGGAGCCAGAGGATGGAATGGTTCAGGGTCGTGTTCACCGTTCCAGAAGCGGGTTTGTAGGTGACTTTGCAGAGGTTGGTGAAGAGGTTTGAGGGGTTGGGGTGGCTGGAATTGTTTGGAACTTTTACCCTTGAAGCGATTCTACCGATTGGCAAATTACTACACATCTTTCATAGATTTGTAAGGCACGGGTGATTCCTAGAAGGGGTTGAACGATACCACTAGGGAATTACATATCTAGCAATGATCAGAAGCTTTATCGACAACTGCTTATATGTTCAACATAACCCTAGTGTGAAAGATACTCGGTACCCACTGATCGTAGGTCTGCCCTAAGCGTTCACTGCTCCGTAAAAGTACTCCGTACCTGTCCACCTGTGCTGTGAAATACCCAGCGAGTGGGACGGACCACCCCTCATCAAGCGGCAGTGCCCCGATCAGGAAAATCGCAACGGCCTAGAACTTGGTAAACCGGGTGACATACGATACATGCCGATGCCAATAGCCACTTGGCACCTTTTCTCACGACTGGTATTGGCTGATTATCGTATCCAATCTGGCCCGCATTAAAAACGGGTTTGGCTACCACTCCCCATAATTTATTTGCCATGCAAGATGCAGATCTTTTTATAGAGGTCATTTCGTGTCTTGGGAGGCATTTGTTCTTTGTTTAATGTCAAGATCCCCCGGGTTGGTTCCAGTGTGGCGGGGAAGTCAGAACCAAGGATGATGGCTTTTAGGTAAGGTTTGGATAGTTGATGCATCGATTATTGAAGAGTACTTTTATTGGTAGATCTCGACTTGGGTGTGTTCCGTATAGATTGAAGAGACCAAATCGGGTATCTCTGTGGTTAATCAGCGTTGCCATCAATAGTAATTTATCTATCCAAAGCCCTCAGTGAATTTTTTTTTTCACTGTAGACACACTGTACAGAATTCAGTAATGTAAACACAAAGAGCATACAAGAAGACGAAATGGAAATCAATACCGTATGTACCTATGGATGTGGAGGTGCGGAGAATTCCCATGCACCTGCATACTGTACAAGGTATGAAGAAGTACAAATGGTACAGTTTTCTCAAAATTCTCAGGGAATAATCTCACATTGCGATCAGATAAGCTTGAGCTAAAGCAATTGTTCCCTTCGGCCGGTGTAACAATGGGTAGGTTGTTCCCATGGTAGACGGGTCCCGATCCCTTGGGCCAAGAGTGGTCGATGTCACGAAAACGGAGATCAGAGAATCAACGCGACACTACTCCATTTTAGTACCTAGTTAACTACTCCGTAGTTAGTATTCTTTTACAATGTACAAGTTGCAGGGGCTAGTTCAAGGAATGATGTTTCCAATAATACAGGGTGCTCCCTACTACGTAAATCCCTTGCTGAAAGCCTATCCCGAAGAAGACCTGGGATGTGATGTACAATTATTACATACGAGCACGGAGTTCGATAAACAATGATATCCCCAATTGATCATCATCATCTCACGGAAAGTCGAGAGGGTGGATGATGAATCCGAATGGCTTGAGAGAAGGATGTCATCATATGCACGTAGGAATATATATATATATATATATATATATT